GCCGTCCCTCCCCTCCCCCTCCCCCTCCCTCTCCCCCTTCCCCCCAAATCCTCCTCCTCGACCTCCTCCTCGACCTCCTCCTCGACCTCCTCCTCCTCCTTGACCTCCTCCTCCTCCATTCATCCGTCCATCCAGAAGTTCAGCCTCACAGAAGCAACGATGTCAGACGTTGAGGATGTTCCAACGGGCTCCAGGTTCTTCTCCACCATGGCTCCATGCCTCTCGCACCACCTTGCATGCAGGTCAAGGGCGGCAGCGAGCACGAGACAACGTCGCACAAGGAAGCGAAGTCGAAGTAGACTCCTCTCAGAGTCAAGAGCTCTCCGACCCTCCCACCCCTCCCCGCGCTCACTTGGACGTCGGGCTGGACCCCGCTACCACCCCTCACTGGCCTTCCATTCACCGTCTTGGCCTGTCTGTCGACCACCTCCTGCACTTGGGGAGGGGTGAACTTGGACACGCATCTTCCGGACGGGGAGAGGAGGATCGAGGTAGTTAACCGCACGATGTCGCTTTCCCCGAGCTTCATGACCTGAGCAAGACACGGAGGTCAGCCGTCGGGCCCGCCTCGCACGCCATGGACTAACCTGCTGTGCTGACGCCTTGCCGTATGTCTCTTCCCCTATGATGACACCTCTGTCTAGGTCCTAGCAAGCAAATCAGGGAATGAAAGTGCTGGGCAGGATCGCTTTCCCCCAAAATGGGAGAAGGAAGAAGAGGAGGAAGAGAGGAAAGAGGAGGAGGAGGTGTTGATGGAGGTGTTGATGGAGGTGTTGGTGGTGATGGTGGAACACGGCAGGTCATTGTCATCACCTGGATCGCAGCAGCAAGAACCTCCGCGCTACTCCTCGTCGCCGAGTTGACAAGGATGGCAATCTTGACCGCTCTCAACTCCTGAGACAAGGAGTTCTCCGGGGTCAAGTATCTCTCTCTGATTGTGTTCCCCGGGCAGCTAGTCTGAAGCTTGCTGTCTTCTCCTCCCTCTTGCGATGCAGCAGTCCCCCGTCTGGCAATCGCAACATGAGCAACTGTCTTTCAGCCAGCAGCAGAGCTCCTCACTTGAGGCAGGTGTCGACCACAGGGCTGCCCTCCGGCATGAACAAGCCAGCGATCTACGTTTTGTCATCAGCGGGCGAGGCCGAGGGGAGAGAAGCAATCCTTTGCCTCGACTGCAGATGACAGCAGCCCACCAGGGTTGTCCCTCAGGTCTACAATCATAGCTCTTAACTCTCCTTCAGACTCCTTGAGAATGTCCCGCACAGCAGCCTGTTGAACAAACCTCAGCTGCTTGCTAGTGAGCCAGGACTTTTGTCCTCCCGACATTGGCAGAGCAAGCATCAAGTCTCAAACAATCCCCATCTTGCTCATCTCACAAGCATCGGCAACGCTCTCTCTACCTCTGCCTCCATTGGCGACGAAGGCCCCATGTCCTTGAGCTTCATGTACCCTGTGCTTCCAGCTGGACTCCTCGCAGTGAAAGCAAGAGGAACGGATGGAGTCTCCATCGCCTGTGCACGAGCTTGTGCTCTAATCTTCATCGTCCTCGCCATCCCAGGTCTTTCCATCTCGAGCTCGACCTGACCAGCCTCCCTCTTGCTCACCATCCCTGACACCTCCTCCAACGACGTCGTAGCGTCGACCCGCACACCGTCGATGCGCGTTATGATATCCCCCGTCCTCAGCCCTGCCTGTATAACCGCGTTAGCGCATCCTATCGTCGATCAGCATGATCGTGAGCAGACTTGTTCTGCAGGACTCGACTCAAAGACGCTGGTCACTGTGAGGCGATCGGGCAGTCTTGAGTCCTTCACGACGGCAGCTCCTAGACCGAGTGTGGGGCCATCGGAGAGAAAGGCAGAGGACTTGACCAAGGGATCGACTTTCTCTCTTGCTACCAGCGAGCTGAAGGGATCTTTCAACTCACTGAGCGCCGCAATCGCTGCCGACCGCCTTATCTCCTTCATGTTGACTTCGTAAGGATACTTAGTCTCGATGATCGACAGCACGTTGTCCAGCAGATCCTCCCCGTGTACAGCCCTGAGCTGGAAAGGAGCTAGGGACAATGTGGCTATCAGACTGACTAGTAAGAGCTTGGAGAAGACATGGCTGGCTGCGTGTAACCCCCCTTTGGCTTCGCCAGAGGGGGGTTTGAAGGAAATCATTTGTCCCCTTTCCCTACGTGTATTGATGGCAGATGGTTTGAGCATGAGAGGTCTCGAGGAACTCATCGGAAGTTTCAGTGTTGGAGCAAAAGAGATCATGCTTGTCATCTCTGTGTTGGACTTCGCCTGGCACTTCACACGAGAGATTTGCGGGGTTTGAGCGATGAATCAGACTTCATCGATAAGACTTCATCTTCATGTCGTCGAACTTCATCCCGTTGCTTCCCTCGTCGTCCTTCCTTACAGCTCACCCCTCCTCGTTCCTTCACCATTCTCGCATACGTTCACCAGTTGGATCTAAGATTTGAATTTTGGTCTTTGATTAAATACAAATTTCATAGTCAAATTTCAATAATGTAGCATATTTCTGAGAGATCACATAAAGGACTAGCTAACAGGCCAGGTGCTACGTGCAATACATTGGCGATCAGGCTTATCAAGTGGTGTACCGGCTTATGCATTGCTACCTATCTCGGGTCATAGGAAGTTGCTAGATAGTAGAATCCTTTAAGTGTCTGGTCCTCACGGACCCCACGAATACGCTGAGATGAAGATGCTGGCGAGAGATCAGGAGGGGAGGGGAGGGGAGAGGACAGACAGGGAATGGCAGGATAGGACAACAGGGAAGGTGGGAAAGAGAGGAATGCAGAAGGGTAAGCAGGAAGGAGGGAAAGGAGAAGTTAGATGCATGAAGGCAGGAAGCATTGCAAGGAAGAGAGAAGAGAGAAGAGAGAAGAGAGAGAGAGAGAGAGAGAGAGAGAGAGAGAGAGAGAGAGAGAGAGAGAGAGCGGGAAGGTACAACCTCACGACGATCGCGGTCATTGTGAAACTTGCGGAGGAGGTTTGACTCGAACTTCTTGGGCTTGGAGAGCTTGAAGCACATCAGCTTCCTGAAATGCTTCTCCCCTCGCGTCAGGCCGGACGCGATCCCGGCTCCGATGTGAATCATCGGAGCCTCCTGCCCGCACGCCATCCCACTCGCCACCGACAGGATCGTCCCGACGACCTTGACGAA